GGGGGGAGCGAACCTACCTGTGGCGTCGGGCACGGGCGTGCATGGGGGCAGCCCCGGAGGACACATCGCATTCCAAATTTTCAGCTTGTGCATCGGAAACGTATGAGTTTGTGGAAAGCTTGTTTGAAGTCTTCGTTAGACATAGTATAGATGACGGGGTTGATGAGGGAGTTGAGATATCCAAGCCACGTGAAAAAGTCAAAGATGGCCATGTGGAACCAGCAAGCGTCCTTGCAAATAGGCAACACCAGGCTGATGATGAAAAAGGGCAGCCAACAGACGATGAAGGCTCCTAAAATAATCCCTAAAGTCTTTGTAGCTTTCCGCTCTCTAGCGGCCGTGAGCTTCTTTTTCTCCAGCAAAGCATCCGAGACCTTCACCTTCACCTGGTTCATGTACACGGGAGAGCCCGTTTCGCTGGAGCCCTCGGGGGCCTTGGAATTTATGGACGTGACGGAGGAGGACGACCCCGGGGAATCTGTGATTAACTGAGCCCGCGTTAGTCTTTTACCTGCTTTCTTTGGCGTCTGCTTCAAAATCCGCGATCTGGCTTCCACGTAGATCCTCCCGTAAAGGGCTATCAGCAGCAGAGTGGGGAAGTAGAAGGCTCCCACCGTGGAGTACACGGTGTAGAGGACGTGGTCCGTATTCACCGCACAGTGAGAGGCTTCCTCAGCCTTCGCCTGCCGCCAAAACAAAGGGGGCATGGAGATACAGATGGAGAAGACCCACACCAGAGCGATCATGCCCGCTGCCCGCTTGGGAGTCCGTTTCGTGGAGTACTCGACGGCGTCGGTGATCGCCCAGTAGCGGTCCAGGGCGATGACACAGAGGTGCAGGATAGACGCCGTGCAACAGGTGATGTCCGAGGACAGCCAGATGTCGCAGACGACCTGGCCCAGCGTCCACTTGCCGGTCACAGTGTACACGGTGCTGATGGGCATGACAAGGATGGAGACGAGGAGGTCGGTGACGGCCAGCGAGGCGATCAGATAGTTGGCCGGCGTGTGGAGTTTCCTCGTCTGGTAGACCGTGGCGATGACAAAGGCGTTGGAAAGCACCGTGGCCAGGGTGACGAGCGCCAGGACGACGGCGAGCACGATCTTCCCGGAGAGGGGGGTGGCATCTTGGTAGATCCATTCCTCGGCGCTGCAGTTTCGGCCGTGGTAAGAGTCGTTGGCAGGGAGCAGCGGCGCCTGGCAGGGGCC